TTCATGACCCCCATTTGGGGGTTTTCTTGGCAAAAATATTGGAGTGGTTCACTATTTGTTTCTCAAGCTCATTTTACAGATGAGGAGACCGAAGCAAACACTTGCCCAGAGTTACACAGCTAGTAAATGTCTGAGTCTAGATTTGAACTCAGGAAGATTCTTCCTGACTCCAAGCCCAGTGCCCTAACCACTGCGCCACCTCGCTGCCCCTTGTTGAGATTTAAAGGAGACAAAAAGAGATAATTAGTAAAGCAATATGAACTTGGTGGTGGGAGGACCTGATCCACTAGTGGCAGGTCCGTGATTTCTTTCAATGGCCCTCTTCTGCTCTACATGACTTAGATGAGGGGAGTGATAGCATACCTATCACATGTATAGCTGATCTAAAGCTAGGATAGTTAGCTAAGGATGCCAATAGAAATGAGAGCCAAAAAGACCTGAAAGATGCGCTGAATCTAATATGATGAAATTGAATAGAGGTGAATATAAGTGACTACTGCGGTTTTTTCTTTTTAATTTTTTTTGTTACATTTTAAGTTCCAAACTATCTCCCTCCCCCCCCACTCTCACTAGAGAAAGCCACCATTTGACACAGATATAGATAGATAGAGAGAGAGATAGATAGATAGATAGATATCTACATAGATATAGATAAGTATATGTGTACATATAACATACACACATATATGTATGGATGTAAACCAAACTATGCCTACTTCTATTTATCAGTCCTTTGTCTAGAGATGGATAGCATTGTCCTTCATTGGTCCTTTGTAGTTGATTTGAATATTTATAATACTCAGAATAGCTTAGTCATTAGCAGTAATTCTTTGAACAATATTGCTGTTATTATATACAATATTCTTTTGATTCTGCTCACTTCACTTCTCATTATTTCATTAAAGTCTCTCCATATTTTTCTAAAATCTACCTACTCATCATTTCTTACAAGTTAAGGTGATGGAATACTATGGGTTTAAAAAAAAGACACAATTATACAAGGACAAATGGAAGACAATAGATTCAAATAAAAAGATTTGTAGTTCTTGTAGACTTCAGGATCTAGGTCATCTCATCCAACTCCTTCATCTTACAGAGAAATCTAAGGCTCAGGAAGGTTGTGACCTTCCAGGGGCAGTTGATGGAGCAATGGATACAGCATTGGTCCAAGAATCAAATTCAGCCTCAGAAACTATGGGACCCTGGGCAAGTCACTTAACTTCTATAGGCTTCTATTACCTCAAATCTAAAATGAGGATAACAGCACCTTCCTTGAAGTGTTGTTGTGAGAATCAAACGAGATAATATTTGTTAAAAGTGGCTAGCAGAGTGTTCTATAAATTCATGTTTCCCATCCCCCTTTCCCAAGGGTGAGACAGGTAACAAGCCATCAGAGGTAGGATTTGAACCCTAGTCCTCTGAGGCCAGACAGTGCCCTTTTTTTTCTTTTAGTTGTCATGAGTTTGCAGTGAGTTATCACCCCTGCCTGCTTTGTGACCCAGAAGGTACATTTGTAAGACAGAGGCTAAGAGGTTGGTTTCAAGCAGTAACTGCTAAAGAGTGCTTGTCTGTGAACAAAACTAACTGGACTCTTTAAGGGTTAAGCTCAGGACCTCATTAGCACCATTTGGTAAATAATTAAGCTAACTAGATCAGACTGAGTCTTAGATCATACTACAGTAGAAGTATTTAATGCTCATTTAACCTAATGGAGAGTAAATGGGGCAAAGTTTGCTTCCAAAAGCAAAGTATCCTCTTGGTTTCTGGGAAAATACTGTAATTTTTAGTCTCTCTTTCATGAGTTGGTTTCTTCTTTTTGCCTACAAAAAGTCACTTCCTTGTTAAGTACTCTATTCTACCAGTTCCCTGTATTATTCTCCATAGTAACTATTCCAAACCTTCTCTTCACAAATGCACCCTACCCCCCTCAATGAAAAAAAAATGTATAGTGGATGCTATAAACTTCTACTTCTCTAAGGAGATTGAGAATGTCATTTCATCTATAGAAGAAAGAATAACTTTACTCCTCACTAAGGCTAATCTTCCTACCTCTACGCTTAATCCCATTCTCAGCCATTTCTTCAAAGACTTTACTCTAGCAAAATCCCCTCTATCGCATGCATCTTGAATCTCTTCCTATATGATCAGCCTACAAATATAGTGACAGCCCCCATTCAAAAAAACAAAACAAAACCTTCCCTTCCCTTGACTCTTATACTCTATCCAGCTGCCATCCCATCTTTCCCTCCTCCCCTCTACTTTCAAATTTCTTGAAAGAATATGCTAAGTCTGCCGCATTACTTCCTCACCAACCACTTTCTCCTCAACCACTCGCAAACCAGTTTCTGTGCTCATTACCCTCTGAAATTGCTCTCTCAAAGATCACTAATATTACAAAATTAAAAATTAAAAAATTAAAATTTTTATTTAAATTTAAATTTAAAAAAATTTAAAATCCTCATCCTTCTTATCTTTTTCCTACATTTACTACTACTACCTAGTACTTCCTACTGAAGGCTTCACACCTTACAGTCATCATACTATCCTGATACCCCTACCTCTCTCAATATCTGCTTTTGTCTCTTCCTCCCCACTCTCTAAAGCTCAACTCAAATGAGACCTCCACTGATATTCTTTGTCAAGAATGACACTCTCCCTTCAGACCTTACATATTTCCTTGTCTTGTAATTCTCTGATGAACTTATCATGCATGATTGCATGCTATAACTATTTGTGTATTCTCTTACTAAATTGTAATCTCCATAAGAGCAAAAGCTGTTACCTACATCTTATATCTCCCCTAGTACTTAGCCCAGTGTTCTGCACACAGTATTATTAGTCCAGTGGTCTGCACACATAGACAATTAATAAATGTTTGCTAAATTGAATTTTAAAATCATGTTTGCAGTAATGGAAGTGTACCACATTCTCCTTGCATCCTTTCTCCTTCTGCAAGTGGAGATGAAATGGTCTCCATCTCCTCAACAATTAACAAAATGATCTGAGGTCCCTGCAGAACTATAGCTTTGATCCTTCAGCCTAGTTTAGCCTCTCCATCTTTCTGTCAATTTCTCAGGATTCCAGCATTAGAATGTAAGGGCAGGGACTGCTTCACTTTTGTCTTTATATTTCCAACACTTAGCACAATTCCTCATATACAGCAAGCATTTAATAAATGCTTGTAAATTGACATATTTAGAGAGAGAAGAGACTTTCAGAACATCAGTTTCAAAGAGATTGTGAGTTGCCCAGGTTCACATGGCCAGGCCATGACCTTAGATCCTTGACTCCTAGCCCAGCCCTCTTTCCATGATACCTTTCTACTTCTATGGAAACTCAACAAAATTTATCCTGGGCCATAGAAAGAATCAGTAATAAAACAGAGAAGAGAACAAATGCACCTTAATATAGTTTTGTGGTAGTTAGAACTGGAAGGGGTCTTAAAGATCAGTCTAACCTCCTCATTTTATAAATAAACTGAGGCCCAGAGAATTTGGAACTTGCCAAGATCACACAAGCAGTAAGTAGAAGAGCCAAGATTTGAATCCAGGATTCCTGACTTCAAATCCAGTAATCGTTCCACTTCATCAGGCTTCTTCTCTCTCTTCCTTCCTACTAAATCAAAATCACTTTGCCTTGAATGAATTTTTTTAATGCTATGAAAGTAAATGCCGTTAACTTCCTTTTTTGATTCCTTGACTTTTAATCTCTTTGCTTCAATATCTTCCCATATCTATTTATCTAAAAGACTGTTCTTCCATTTGATGAAAGGCAGTAGAATTTCAGTATTCTGCATTCTATACTCAGTGTTCTCTTGTGTAACGATTGCAATGATGGTTAACAAAAAAATTCTTCATTTAATATGATTAGTTTTTCCATTAGGAGCAACAAAGTAAGAATTCCCCTTTAGGGATTCTCTGCAATAAAAACACTACCAAGAAGTCTCATGAGACACTGTTATTGCACCCTTTTCTCTTCAATATGATGCCAAAGGCAGGTCAATAGTATCCAGTTAGGGCGCTTACCTCTCAGAATTGAAGAAGGATCTAGGGAATTGAGAAGTTTGGAGCCAGTCTCAAGAAAATTGTTAAGTAGGGAAAGTCAATGGCAATCTTCCACTTTAGAGTATCTTCTTTTAATACTCCTCTAGATAGTTCCTGGACAGTCACCTGTGTCCTCATAAGCATCCTGACAGCACGGTATAATAAAGGCCTACCCTCTCCTCTATAGTGCCTTATACTCTTGACCTGAGGCTTGCCCCTTTCCCATATAAAAATCTCTTCCTAGGTAAACAAAACTTAGAAAAGGTGATTAAACTAATTCATTGGAAGTGTTAATGGCTTATAATAGATTGAGTTCACACCAGGAAAGGGGCTCTAGTCCCCCAAGTGTTGACACCTTCCAGGGCTAGGGCTGACCCATGTCCAGTCAGATCTCTACAACTCAGACCAATGAGGCATGTGGGACTTTACTCACTCTCCCCTCTAGAGACTAGGCAATTCCTTCAAGTAGCTAGAGGCTAGAGTCTTTAGAGTTCAAATCCAGCCTCAGACAGTCCCTAGCTGTGAGACCCTGGTCAAGTCACTTAACCTTTGTTTGCCTCAGTTTCCTCACCTGTAAAACAGAGATAATAACAGCACCTACTTCACAGAATTATTGTGAGGATCAAATGAGATAATATTTGTAAAGCGCTTAGCATAAATACCTGAAAGAGCATTTACTGTGAGTTAGGGACTCCTACTATCCCCAGTTTTATAGATGAGTAAACTGAGGCTGGCAGAGGTTGAGTGGCTTGACCAGGGTCACACATCTAGCAAGTGTCTGTGGCCAATCTTGAACTCAGGTCTTCCTGACTCCAGGCCTAGTGCCTTATCCACTGCTTCATCTAAACACCCTACACAGTGGGTGCTTAATAAATGCTTATTCCACCCCCTCCTCCACCCTCACCCCCCACTCTTACTTATTCAAGCAACTGTATGGAAAACTACAAGAGACTGGAGGCTCCCAGAGTTTAGTTTTTATCAGGTCACGTACATGCATATGTACATATATAGACACTTCAATAGCATTCCAACTTTGCGAGGGAAATTGCTCCATTTCTCAATCTTCCAGTGCAATAACTGCAGCAGCTTGGGTTTGTTAGCCAACAAGTTATTCTTTGATAAATAATAACTGGTTAACTAGCACAAACATCAAATTAAAAGGGGAAATTAGAATTTCCCAATCCAACTGACGCAGCCAGAAAGAGACAATAGGAAAAACAAGAAGGTTTGACTAGCAAACAAGGAATTGGCTTCTTCCTAGAGAAAGAGGAGCTGGGGGTAGGGAGAGGTGAGAAGGCCTCATCTTGTCCTCCCATCTCATGCTTGGCCAGAAATTTGGGTCCTGACTGATAAATACAGAGATCACACTCCGAATGATTCTGGTCATTGCAGCCAGGCCACATTTGAAAGACTCTCCATTAGGCTGTTTGCTTCTCCAGCAGTTGCTCAGCTCAGCATCTTCCACTTCTCAGAACCTGTTCAAGTTCAAGGACAAGAGCAAAGTCTCAGTAATTTGGAGAACACTAGTTAAATCCCACCCTATTCCCACCCCTGGAGGCAGGTACCTGGGCTTTTCAAGTTTTTCATCAATAATCTGGTGGGTAAGGATTCAAATGAGATCTTGTTTGTAAAGTACTTAGCACAGTGCCCAGCATATAGTGGCACTTAATAAATGATCTTCCCTCTTATCTTCCCTTAAAGAGGAATTTGCATTTTGTATTTTTATTAAGAGTTTGGTATAATCTAAAGGAATGACTTTCTATTGGTAAAATAATCAAGCATCAGTGAGAGGTCACTGGAGGCAATAGTTTTAAGCGAGAGATTCCTTGATATTCCCCCCTCAAACCTCACCTCATGGTGCTGCTATGGGAGGAAAAAAAAAACTCAGGAGAAGCATTAGAGATGGTACTTTCCCATCTTCTTTCCTTTCTCTCTTCTGCCCTCTGCCTGGGCTAAGAATTGCCTAACCCAAAGCTTACTGCAAATCAGGTCATGATGAGCTCAGAGACCTTCCAGGGAAGCCTAAGATGACTGTGAGAAATGCTTAGATCCTAACTGAGTCTTCGGTCTGCCAAAACAAAAACAAAAAAATTGTGTTCTGGGTTCCCCAATAGGTTATGTTTTAGCTTTGTCCAAATTTTATTGACTATTTATATTTACCTGATGCTATACATCTTGCAACCTTACCTGGAAACTGCCCCCTTCTGGAAACTGCCTAATGGGCTACATGTTTGTCTTTGTATCCCTGTTTGTACTCTGTATAATGTGAAACTTAGAGAGACTAGAGAAGGAAGTACATCTATTTCTAGCCCACTCTTCTGCCAAATGACCCATTAAACTTCTCGATCAACAAAAGCTGTTTACTCACTATTCAAATATTCCAATCGATCTACGATCTAAGTGATTAGAGATTGTAATCCACCTGTTCCTGCCCATCCTATGAAATTCTGATCTGTCTTCCTGACAGTTCTACACATATAGTTCATCCAACTTTTGCTGAGGGGCTTTCTTTACTTTCTCCTGACATCACAAGAGCACAGGTGGAACACTAGCTGTCCACCTGTCATGACAGGACCAGCCCATCTTTTCTTCCTGTTAGACATTTCTTTCATTGATATCTTTCACTGCTCCTCCTCCAAGGTCCACATAGATTATATCTTGTAGCCTACTCACACCCACCATGCATCTCTCCCTTGCACTCTGTTAATTTTCAATTTTTCAGATTCTGTCCCACGTCTTGCTACCATACATATTGAGTTTGAAAAAAATAATTTTAGGTCTTTCCAGGCCAGAAAACCTCAAGAAGACCTTCAATCCTTCCATCCTCATATTCTGGCAAAGTGTCTTGTCTTAAGGTTTCTAGGATCTCCAGCTCAGGTACCAAACTACTACAAAGAAAGTCTTAGAGTTAGGTACCTCAAGAGCTGATGTAACCAAATATTAAGTACAAGAATTACTTGATTCAGCATTACTGCTGGTGACACACCAGAGGAAAAGGGAACCCAGAACTGAACTTCCACCTTTCATCTGGAACTAGCTCTGCTTCAGACATATTAAGATATTAAGACTAGGTGATCTCCAAAGTCCTTTCCAGCTTTATGATTTTTCTATGATATGGCAGCAGCAAGGTGGTGCAGTGCATAGAGTGCTGGGTTTGGAATCAGGAAGACTCATCTTCCTGAGTTCAAATTTGGTTTCAGACACTTACTAACTGTGTGACCCTGGGCAAGTCACTTAACCTTGTTTGCCTCAATTTCCTCATCTGTAAAATGAGCTGGAGAAGGAAATAACAAACCACACCAGTATCTTTGCCAAGAAAACCCCAAATGGAGTCATGAAAAGTCAGACACTACTGAAAACAACTGAACAATAACAATGAAGAACATTTACCTCTTGAGATGATGTTCTACTCTTTATTTATTGCCTGGGGAGTCATATTAAAGATAATTAGTGACTGATTCAGGAGGAGCAGCTACACTGTGGTCTATAAAAAGGGCAAGAAAAGAAGATTTCACATTTTCTTTTCTTTACTTAAGACTTAGAAAAATTATGTGACTTGCTCAAAGTCATAGGTGGCCAGATTCAAACTCAGGTCTCCTGGCCCTGACATGCCTTTCCACTATAACATTGGACACTACATTACACAATGGTGCTTGGAGCCTCAAGTTCTTGATTCTTCTGGTGGTGATGTGCTGTCCATAACCTACACTCATGCGATAAGTCATGAAAAGAATCCCCCTATATTTGATCAGTTTAGGTCTTCTTTTGCTCTCCAGCTAAATAGCCATTCATACAGCATTCTGGAAATGTTCCTTAAGTACCTGTTGTGTATAGGATACTGCAAAGTTGAGAAATGGCAGGATTTCTGATTTCATGGCGTTGATAACCACCTTTCCAACTTAGCTTTCACAGGTTTACAAGTTGTGCCCCCAGAGGGAACCTAGCATTCAAGATGTACTTTGAAGGTCTAGACTTCTCCTCCTAAAACTCATAAGCCCCTACTTGTGTACTTCCCATTAACAATCAGCCAGTAGATACAATTAGTTTTTAGCAAAGGCTTTTTACTAAGGCAGCATAGTAAGAACAATGGCTAAAAAAATATTCCCTCCATAAACCTGGAATGTGCTCTCTCTCACAGGTACACCCAGAGTCCAGAGGAAGAGTGGGTACAAATGCATACACATAAGGAATAATATATGGCCAAGGCAATTCACAATTCCAATACCTCAGAGCCTCAAAATTCTTTCTCTTGTTATATAATCTTCTCTACATCCCAACTCTTAACAGCCCAGGTTAGCTCTCTCTCTTGAGTCTATAACCAGTTCACAATCCATAGCCTTTGCTGACAGAGGTTACATTCTGTGAAACTGCTTCAAGAGACTGCTTCTCTGTATCTCTTCTGTCTTGAGTGTGTCTCCCTCAAATATGCCTTGAACTCTCTCAGACTTACTCACTGACTGCTAGAGCAGTGCAGTAGCTACGCTGCTAGCTGCCATGGAGGATGGAGGATGGAGAGTAGAAGAGAAAAACCCTTCTCTCCCCAAAAAGGGTAAATAGGTAGGTTCTCCAATTGCTGGCTCCTGCCAAACTGCCTCAAACTAACTGCACTGTGCCTTTTACTGGTCACTGTGTGTGTCCATCTTCTACCAGCCTCTCTAATTCAATCAATCTACCTCCTAAAGCTTAACACCCCCTCATTTTGTAATTACATCAACTGTTCTCAGGGAGGGGACAGAAGGAGGGAAGTGGGGATCAAATTTCATCCACCTTCTACTACTAAATATAGTGAGTCCAGAAGAAGGACTTTTGTGCAAACCCCAGTTCTCAAGATGAAACTGAGAATCAATCTATCAGCAAGAATTCATTAAGCCTAGACAGTATAAAATACCTGAGTGTATGCCTGCCAAAACAAACACAGGAACTATATGAACATAAACATACAACATTTTTATTCAAATAAACTCAGATCTAAATAATTGAAGTAGTATTTATTTTCATGGGTAGGTAAGGTCAATGTAATTTTTAAAATGTCAATTTTACCTAGTTAATCTATTTGTTCAATGTCATCCCAAAGAGGAGAAGGTGAGGCTCTTTGCATAGTCCTTCCTCACTTAAATTCAATTCACTTGCAAATCATGGCATCACTTTCCTGATGTCATGGTCCACTTTCGAGAATGGAGGACAAACAATTAAATTACTAAAAAGTTATTTTACTGAGTTTGAAAAAAATAATTTTAAAAGTTTGTTTCGAAGAGCAAAAGCTCAGGCACTTCAAAGAAACTGGGGAAAAAAAGATGTAAAGGAAATACATTCAGCAGTATCAGACCTTAAACTATATTATAAGGGAGAACATTGTTGAAGTGTAAAAGGGATAATTTCAATTATTTTAAATTAAAATTTTCTTGTATAAATAAAACCCAAATAGCCAAGAATAGTAGGAACGCAGAAAATTGGGGGGGGGGGAACTTTCATAGACAATATCTCAGATAGGATATGATTGGGTTAGAATATTGCTGGGGTATAGGAAATTATGAACTGGCTGATTTAGAAAAACATGAAAAAGACTTGGACCTATGATGGAAGATGCTACCTACCTCCAGAGAAACAGATGACAGATGGAAATAAGCATAGTATGGCCTTACATATATGTTCTGAATGTATATGTGTATATATGTGTACATTTATAGACATCTTTGTATATGTATATATATCTATGCTTAATTTTAGCCCTCTGGCGGATGGGGTTGAGGGGAAGAGAGAGGAAAAAAATAAAGTAAAACGTGCACAACAAAGAACAAAACAAAACCAAGTAGGAAGCACAGAAAAGCTGGGCAGCCTTGAAAACAATATGTAGTATTTATTACATAGGTTTTCTTGAAATGGAAATTTATTGTTTTATACTGAATCCTTTCTTATGGTCTGCTGTATACATTGGCTATGTTTTTTTTTCTTTTCTCATTTTGTATTTAAGTTTTAAATTTAAAAAAATTGTAAAAAAAAAGAATTCATTAAGTCATTGCTTTGTAGCAGGAACACAAGAATTCAATTGTTGGTTAGACTGCAATTAAAAGATGTTTTCTCAGTCCTTGAAGAAACAGATAAAAAGGTAAAATGCAGTAATTTGTAGGGTATTTTACACCAACTTCAAAAAGTCATCTCATTAGCATCTCCACGTTATTTAAACTGAAGGCAAAGGTCAGTTGCTTCTATTCATTTTAATTTGATTTGTCCTTAGAGCCATGAGCCACACTGAAGGCCAAATTCAAGATTTCTACAATTAATTAGACCTTTAAAAAAATTTTTAACTACAAAATAGAATTCCTATATCTCATTATTTCTTTGCCTCAGTCTCAGGACCACAAAAGCCTCCCTGAACATAAAAGATAAGAGTTCCTTTAAAACAGAAAGTGAGAGAATGATGCCGAAATTCATGCTCTCTAGAAGCAAGTATGTTAAAGGACTGATGGAATGAAGCAACATTGATGCCAAATATGGACAGAACATGTTCAAAAATGCCTGTATTTTGATTGGTCGTTAGCATTTCCCCAGAAGAAGAGCTGTGAGGTTTCAGCCTCCGCCCAGGAAGTCATGAAACCACAAGAATGCTTAGTAGAACTTTCTCCTGACTGTTCCTATTGGGGCTTGGTGGGCTGCTATTGGTTGCCGGGGAGCAAAGAGGTGGGCCCTGTATATTTTTTCAGGTGGGGGTCGACTGTCGAATTTTGCTCAGAAGCTGCATACCAATGTGGGAAACATTGGAGGCTGCAGAGCTCTGTTTCAGTCTGCTTTCCACTCTGCTTCCTTACGCTGTTGTAAGTTTACTACCATACAGTCTGAAAAATAAGCTACATATTAGTTGGTTTAAAAAGGTAAGTGAAACCACGGTTTATGTGAAAGGATGTGAGTTGGGCCTCGTGTCTATGATGGCCTCAGATGATAAAATGCTAGGCTGGGTTGGATTTCTTCAAAGTATTCGAGAACATTTGGTATCTATCCCCCGCCTTATGTAAGGCTTTCTTATCTGCAAGGAAAGCAGACATACAAGCTCTTTTTCTTTCTGTTGATCAGGTCACAAGTCTCTTGCACAACCAAGAAATGAGTTTTGTGAAGGATGAAGAAAATAAACCTACACCCCACTTAGCCAGCAACCTGAGGCCTCATTTAGTAGGCAAAGTTTGGGTTACTCTGGCCTCTTGTCTTATCAGACATCTAGACAATTTGCACTTCAAGGACACTGACAAAGACTCCCCGGCTGCTTTATAAACATTAATTCATCCCCACCAGCTTCTGGGAAGTCCAGCGCCTTGTTATCTATCCCCCTAGGGAAAAAGAAACGGTGATGAGGTCCCCGCCTGGGAGTCTGAAAGAAAAGCTTGAATTGCTTACTGCTCCCTAGTCTCAAAAGTCTGCTTAAAAGTAGGCATAAACACAATTGGTGAGATTCTCCATGCACCCACACACGCTTTACTCAGTCTCAAACCTTTCTGCCTTGAGTCTCTACACCAGGAGCTCCATCTTTAATTGGAGTATTGTAGATTAATTTGAGTTTGCATTCAAAAGGATGAAATAAGTTTATCTTCTAGAGAGCTAGCCTCGGAGTCCAGAATCCTTGGGTTCAAGCTTAAACTGACACATACTGAGCTGGATGATGCAAAGCTAGCCCACTCCATCCTCACCCCTCTTCCACCCTAGGGGAAAGTTCTAAGACTACACATTGAAAACCAGTTGGCAATCTGCATAGGTTGAAGGGAGTTTTCTCAATGGGAGTTTCCAACATGGATAAAGATTGAGGCCAAAAAAAAAAAGTTTATCCTTAAAATTTTGTTCTGTTCTAGAAAAGTTCAGTTGTTCTGCTAAAAAGGCACTTGAGTGGTCATTTCCTTCTTGAGTAGTCTTGGAAAGTACCCCTTTGTCCCCATTAAACCACACTTCTCTCCTGGGTTCCTGAAATACCAGACTAAGACGTTAATCTGCCGCTGCTTGAGTTTAGAAGTCATATGGCTGTTTACTGTGTTCACAGTCAAGGTTACTTTGTGGATATTTAATAAGGCTATGCCACAAACAGCTGTGGGACCAGCTCACAAAGAGTGGTGAGCAAATTATTTTACTTCTCTGGGCCTTCATTTTCTCAACTACAAAATAAAGGGATCAGATTAAACGATCTCAAAGGTTCTCTGCAACATTTTCCATCACCACCACCACCACCACCACCACCATCATCACCACCATTTCTTTGGTTCTTGCCGTGAATTTACTTTAACAGCTATTATTTTCTAGTACCCATCGAAATGCAGTAACTCCTTTAAAAAGTGACTTTAGTGAGCTCTTTCCCAAATTAAATCCCCCCCATAACAATAGACGCATCCATCTCTCTATCTGAAAATGTGTCATCATAGTCATATGAAATTATGTATTCCTACAAAGTCAAACAAAAAAACCAGGTTCACATTCTGGTAAAGTGACGGTAAAGCTAGAGTAGACAAAGACTTAACAGGCAAATACCTCCTCTGCTCTGGTATGCTAGTTAACAAACTCTTTGGGGATCTTTCTCCTAGTTGATTGAAAGCTCCCAGAAAAACCCTCAATACAAGAGGAACAGTAGGACCAACAGTCACTCACCGGTGTCCATTCGATTGAAAATGTGGAAGGTTGATGAAAACTTTGTGAGAGAAAGCCTGGGGAATTTTTAACAATCTGCCATCAAGGTTTTGTGACATCTAGCAGGGAAATTTTCCTGAACTATGTTGGTAGAAAGACAACAGGAAATGAGAATGATATTTAGCATTTAGATAGCACTTCAAGATTTGCAAATATTATCTCATCTGATCCTCACAGCAACCCTGGGAGGTAAGTGATATTTAGAATTCCCGTTTTACAGATGAGGAAACTGAGCCAGGCAGAGGTTAAGTGAGTAGTCCAAGGTTACCCAGCTCCTAAGTGTCCCTGGCTGGATTTGAACTCTGGTCTTCCTGGCCCCAGACCCAATGTTATAACCACTCTATCCACTCTATCACCTAGCTGGTAAGAGTGCTAGCCTCAGAAGCTAAGAAAATCTGGGTTGGAGTTACCACTCAGATACAAACTGGCTGTATGATCCCAGGATCTAATGAAGCCTATGGACCCCTTCTCAGAATATGTTTAAATACATAGGATTGCAAAGGAAATCAATTATAGTGCAATATAGTTATCAAAATATTTATTTAAACAAACAAATTCATAGGCGCCTGGTTGAGGACCCCCTGGGGAGGAAACTCTTAGAACTTGGAGATGTAAAAGATCTATATGTGAGAGTCACCATTTAAAGATAAAAGAACAAGAATTTAGGGTAAATGGAGAAGCTCCCAAGAACCTATTTCCCTTCTGATGGCTTGTAATCACTCATGTGACACCTCCTGTTGCTCGGTCTTTCCTGACCTTCGTACTCCCTTTCTGCCTCCCCACCTCCTCACCCCCAAGAAAGAAATTACTCTGCATTTAATTTATATGTCTTGTATCTGCTCATCTATGCACAGTGCAGCGGGCAGAGAACATTTTGGCCTCAGTATTTATTGAGTGTTATTGTGTACCAGGCACTGTGCTATGCCACGACATACCAAGAAAGTCAAAAACAGTCTCTGCCCTCAAGGAGCTTACAATCTGATTGAGAAAGGCAACTTTTTTATAGACAAAATAGAGACAGGACAAATTGAAGATAACCTCAGGAGGGAAGGTACTAACATTTATGGGTACCAGGAAGGACTTCCTATAGAAGGTGGAATTTTAACTGAGTCTGGAAGGAAGAAAGACATGTAGATGAAGAGTGATAGCATTCCAGGAAGGGGAGACAGTCAATAAAAAGGCGTAGACTTGGGAAACAGACTGTCAAGTGGACAACAGTAAGTAGGCAGTCATAGCAGCAGCATGGAGCTCAAGGAGGGGACTAAAGGGGATAGAAAACTGGAAAGGGAGGAAGGGATCAAGTTGTCCAGGGCTGTAATGATGATCAGAGTACTTTATCTTTGATCCTGAAAGTAATAGGGAACCACTGGAATCTGTCTGGGTGACAGTGGTCAGACATGGCTTTAGGATAAGATAATCACTTTGGCAACTGAATGGAGAATGGATTGGAGTGGGGAAAGATTTGAGCCAGGGAGACTAATTCAGAGGTTATTGTAATAGCCCGGGTGAAAGGTTTTAAGGGCCTGTTATATAATGAGGTGGCACAGTGGATTACTGGGTTTGGAATCAGGAAGATTCATCTTCCTGAGTTCAAATCTGGCCTCAGGCACTTACCAGCTGGGCCACCCTAGGGAAGTCATTTAACCCCGTCTGTCTCCATTTCTTCATCTGTAAAAATGAACTGGAGAAGGAAATGGCCAACCACTCCAGTATATTTGCCAAGAAAACCCCAAATGGGGTCATGAAGAGTTAGACATGACTGAACAACAACAACAAAATTAAAATAGAGGCTGTTTTAGTGAAGGAATCCATATACAAAAGATGTTGTTAAAGGAAAAAAGCAATAGATTTGTGAACAGATTAGACTGATGGCTTGAGTGATAATGAAGTGTTGAGAAACACACCAAAGCTGTGAGCCTGGGTGACTGGGAACATGATGGTGCCCCCAAGTGTAACAGAGAGGTTGGGCAAAGGGGAAGGATTGGGGGAGGGGAGGAATATAATAAAAGACACGTGGAGTTTGAATTGATTACAGGACATCCAATATGAGAAGTCTAGAAGTCAGTTGATAACGTAGAACTGTTTCATAGGAGGCTAATGCTGGATAAAAAGATCCAGGAAATCGTCTGTATAGAGATGATAAATTGAATCTCAGGAGCCAATGAGACAAGCAAGTGAAACAATATATTGAGAAAAGACAGATGGTCCTAGGACAGGGTTCTGGATGACATAGTTAGTGGGCATGGCCCGGGTGAAGATTCAGCCAAGGGCACTGAGAGCCAGGAAAAATCAGTGTCACAAAAATGAAGAGGAGACCCTCTGGGAGGCGTAGGGTCAAATACTGCCGAAAGAAGGATGGCGACTGAGAAAAGTTCATTAGATTTGTTATCTAGTGGATCAACATGATGCCGGGCAACTTATTTAACCTCTCATTGATCTAGAAAGAGGTCTAAAAATTTAACTTGAAGAGTTTCTTCTACCAAAGAAATCATATTCTGGTCCCTGTTCCTCTTGTCTATGTATATGATTTCCCCCTCCTCCTCCCTTATCTCTGCACCCCTAGACTGTAAGCTCTTCTAAGGGCAAGTCCACTTTCATTTTTATCTCTGTCTCCCTAGCTCCTGGCACAGAACCGGTCACATGGTAGTCCCTCAAATAAATGCCTTTTGAATTTAATTGAGTTAAATGTTATCCACAAAATGACAGTACTCTCTCCTTTAACTGCACAATGTATCAGCACAGAATTAAGGCTAAAAGGTGGAAAGTCACTTCTAGGGGAGGAGGGGCATGCATAATGAGGGACTTTTTCTATATTACTTTGCATAAAAGTACATATTAAAATGTTGTATAATTCCCCTTTCCTTCCTACGGAAGTATTTACTGTTTGACAAATCAAGTGCATGCGTTATATTTAAAGCTCAAAGCCTCTTCCAAGGTGGAGAAGGGCACCACTTTCAAGTCTTGCTTGGGGTGTTCAAATGCATGGTCCCAGTTGAGACACCTCTACAACAGTTAAGCAGAAAAAATCATGCAATTTGCACATAGTTCAGAGGATTAATCCTCTAGAATGGGAAGAAGCCTCGGAGGTCATCTAGTTCAACCTCCTCATTTACCAGAAGAGGAGACAGCCCCAGAGGATTTAAATGATTTGCCTGAGGTCACCAAGCTTCTAATCTAGACATAACTTGGAGTCAGTTCCTTATTTTTGAAACCTTGCGTGAATATCCTTTCAATTGGACTGGGTGAAATGTTATTCTCTGATCCTCCAAAAAATTTCCACTTGTCCTTTAAACTGAAATCAGATCCAAGTTCAAGGCTTTCAACTGGCCTTTTCCAGAAGCTGGAGATCAACTGATCTCACCTCAGGCTCCACCAGAGCCTAAGCAGAAAGCTTATATGCTCTTCTGGTTCAGCCTTGGAGAACTCAGAGCCACCTCTTCATCCTGAGGAGACATTGGACATGGTAGAAAATGGTCCGTTAATCGTACCAGATATCTGACACCACCTTTAGTAGTCCAGCATAAAGCTATTTGTATATTATTCAAAGGGCAAGCTCTCCTTCCTAGCAGCAGGAAAACAGCATTTAGATGAACGAAATACACAATGTGCAATTTTTCTTGTGATCTACATGAAACAGGAAGCCTGTGTGGGTTTTCTTGCAAGGATATGGCATTCATAGTTTCAGTGCAACAGTCAGGTAGATTATGCAGCAGAAAACTTCCGTGCAAGATACCGGTTTAAGGCAGAGTTTTCTGAGTAGTTCCCATCAGGGTACCATGTGCATCAGACAGAATCTCCTGGAGACTTTGAAGCCTCTGTTTTTGCCAGAATGAAAGCATCATCTGACAGTTGCAATACATATGATGCTCAAGGGGAAAATCCTTGACTTAGTTTAGGCTAAGGAAAGCTTTAGAAAAGATCTTTCTTAAGTAAACATGGTTGTATAGCTTGCCCTCATTTGCTTTTCCTCAAGTATTTATTAAGGCCCTGGGAATAGAAAGACAAAAAGCAAAACAATACCTGAGCTCAAGAAGCTTACATTGTATTGGGGAGAGAAAGAAAGATAAAAAAAAAGGAGAAAGAGAAGAGAGGGAGAGAGTGAGTAAGAAAGGAAGAAAGAAGAAAAGAAGGAAGGAAGAAAAAGAAAGGAAGGAAGAGGAGGGAGGGAAGGAATAAGGGAGAAAGACAAAGAAAGAGAAAGAGAAAAAGAAAAAAGAGAAAGGTGCTATTTTTATTATGTGAGTAAAAACACTTTGATCTCTTGCATTGTTTTGATGGCTAACGGCTGTTAAGATTATACCTCTTGAGCAAGGGGAGTATAGATGATGGGGAAATCTCCAGCAAGATAGTACTGTAGTTTGTCATACTGGTCAAGAAATTGAGCAAGGGAAACTCAGCCTTACAGTTTGCATGCCTGACTGTTCCCCTTGATCACTAAAAATCAACATACCTTGCAATAAGAATGATTCGTCATGGAGTCTGAAATACATGATTCTTCCTCACTGCTCTTAAGCCCAGACTTTGAGATACCTTCAAATGAATTCAACAAACATTTATTAAGCTCCTACTCATGCTTATTATGTGCAAGACACTGTGCTGGATACTAGGCAAAAATGAAACAGTACCTGCCTTCAGGGAACTTGTCTTTTAAACAGCTTGTACAATCACTTCATAGAATCATTGCATCTTAGAGTTGGAACGGACCTCTGAGATAACCTATACCTGAGCCTCTAATTGAAAACCACCCCTGAAAGAGAATTCACTATGTCCTATCCTCTGTGACAATGGACAGGGGATGAGTAAGAGTCACAATTATTTTTTAAATTTAAAAAATTTTAAATTTTACATTTTTTTAAATTAATAATTACCTTCAACTTTCTTCCTCACTGAATCTTTTTTTTTATCAGAGTTGCTGACACAAAGAACAGAAACAGATTTGAGTTTCTTCCCCTTTCACTTCCTACTATTGTCGTTGTTGTTCAGTCATGTCCAATTCTTCCTGATCCCATTTGGGATTTTCTTGGCAAAGATACTGGAGTGGTTTGCCATTTCCTTCTCCAACTCATTATACAGATGAGGAAACTGAGGCAAACAAGGTTAAGTGACTTATCCAGGGTCACACAGCTAGTAAGCTTCTGAAGCTTCATTTGAACTCAGGAACATGAGTCTTTCTGGCCCCAGGTCCAGCATTCTATCCACTGCATAACCTAGCTGCCCCTACACTTTCTGTATCTACTCTCAAATCCTGCACCTTCCAGAGTAAAAATGACCTAGAGTGAAACCTATGATATGAGGAAAAAGAAGCACAGCCAGAGAGCCTGGATGAGTCCTAAGCTAGATGAATTAGTTCTCCAAAAATGAGAGCAGCTGTACTTAGAGGGAGGGTTGGAGAAGAGAGTTTCTGGGGATTAGAAGGGTATGAATGGGCCAATAAGGTCAGGTAACAATTAAAAAAACCAAACTCTCCCTTCCCTCTTGAGCTACTGGGCACAAGGTGGTCTAAGTTGTCTTCTCAAAACTATATGTGGTCGACTGTGGCATCCCTTTCTGCAAAAGACTTCCTGTAAAGGGAAGAAAAAAAAAGACACCAGTCAGTGAAGAGGGCTTTTTTTGGTGGTTATTTGTTTTTAATTCTGGTCATCTGTTCTTTCCCTCCCAGATCTTTTCAGGGAAACTCTGCTTGATACACAAATATATATGACCATTTCATTGGGTGAAATGGTCTGAAATCCATAGAAGGACTCATAATGTTTGGTGGGGATTCATGAAGTTAGATTTGGAAATGGGACGAACCATTATAAATAACTGAACATTATGGAACAATAGAGTGAGACCAGTGCTGAAAAAAATCAATCCTCTCTCATAGAACATACTGTGTCCAGTTATTCTAATGAGGATATTAGGTTCAGAATCTTAATTATTTATCATCCTTGGGTAGAGGTACAAGTGATATGCTTTCCTGTATTTCATAAAAAAGTCATGTGAGACTACTACTTATCTGCTTTTAAATCTATTAAAAAAAAAACATGAACCAAGACCACTGGTGATTTGGTAAGCTTGATCAAGGTCATAGATTGCTAAACTTGAAATTAAGGAAGCTCTGTTATTTACATAGACTGTTAGAACTGGAAGGGAACTTGGAGGTCGCCTAATCCTACCCTTTGTTTCACAGAGGATATAAATCAATTCAACACATACCTACTATGTACAAAAATATAAGGACAAAAAAAGGGACAATCCCTTTCCTCAAGGACCTGAAAATCTCATAGGGGAAATATGGCATACACAAATAAAGATGATAAAACATGAGTGATGCAAGCAAAGGAGAGATCTGGAGTTCTCTAAGAGAGTAGGATGGGAGAACAAACCATCATGTGATTTATTGGAGCAAGCAAAGGACTTAGAATAGGGATTTCTGAGTTTTAGTTCCAGATCTTATATTTACTAGCCATGTGACCTTGGGAAAGTCACTTAACGCCTTCAAAACTCAATTTCCTCACCTGGGAAATGGGGATAACAACATTTCACCTCCCTACCTTACCAGGGTTTGTTGTAAAGGTTCAAACGAGACAATGGATACAAAAGTATTTGGTAAACTGAAAGAACTATATCCATATGAGGTATTATTATGGATGGAAAAAGTAGGGTTTCAATAAGTTTACTGACTTACCCAGCACAGCTAGATGGTAGTAGAAACTGTGCCAACTTATTCATAGATTCAAAGCTGAAGAGGAACTTAGAGGCCATCTCATCTAACATCCTCATTTTACCAGGGAGGTACTGAGGTCCACAGAGTTTGTGGCTTGCTTAAGGTCACCGAGATGATAAATAGCAGAGCCGGGAGGATTGGAACCCAGGTCCTCTGTCTCCAATTTCAATCCTCTCTCCACATTATCTGAAGGTCACACGACTTTCTGTGAATTAGTGGCAGAGACTGGCCAGAATCTCAGTCTCCCAACTCCTAATTCAATCACTTTTCCTCTATTCCTCATTCAAATCCAGTGTGTTCAAAGATTTTCTGATGAGCATTCTTAAAGCAAACCCTGACACTGAGCTATACTAACAGGCGTATAGTTTCATAACTGGGAGAAGCCATAGCTCAGCCATATAACCTGATAGATAAATCGAAAAAGAAGCTATCGAGTTATCTACTGTTATTTGTTCAACCTTCATGTGTGTGTTCGTGTACACACATGTGTATACATGCATGTATATCCCTAGACATACATGCACACATCTGTGTTTACATGTATGTGCACATTTGTGGCCTGTATTTGTGTGATTTAAGTTCAATTTGTCTCCTTTAACTAGCTCTTCTTTGAGGACATAAATACATTAGACACTAGACAAGAAATTTACCAAATGCACTCTCTCATGTCCATCTGCATTCACTGAATAATCTCCCTGTGACAGTATTCAGTTAAGTAGAGTATATGTGTGTATATGTAGGTATATAAATATAAATATAAATATACATATACATATATATATATATATATATATATATATAGAGAGAGAGAGAGAGAGAGAGAGAGAAGAGAGAGAGAGAGAGAAAGAGAGAGAGGGAGAGAGAGAGACTATATTTATGTGACTTAAGTTCCATTTGCCTCCCTTAACTAGCTCTCCTTTAGGGACATAAATACATCAGACACTAGACAAGGAATTTACCAAATGCTGTCTTTTTTGTCTTTTTTCCAGGAATTGAAAGAAGTGAAACTTGACCATGAGATCACTGCCATATCTTTACTCACTGAATAACCTTCCGTGGCAACATGTAGTTAAGCACAGAGAAAGAGGAAAAAGAGAGAGAATGTGTATACATACACATATATATACACACACACACATATACATATACACATATACACACACATACCTATATTTGTATAGATGTATACACACATAGACGTAATGATATGACCCTGGGCGTAAAATGTATGATTCTTGAGGGCAAGGACTGTTTCTGTTTTGTCTTAGTATCTTTAGTGCTTAGCATAGTGTCTGGCACAAAATTCTTTTTGATTGACTGATTAGATAATTCACTTAATTCAAGATGAATAAGTCCCTACTTGATCCTGTTTCCTTGTCTATAAAAAGTGCTGTTAGAGGACCTGAGTTCTGCACTCTGGGCCTCAGTTTCCTCATCTGTAAAATGAGGAATTTGGGCTGGAAGATCATTTAAGCACTAAGCCTATGTTCCTAAATGGAGATCATAATACTTATAGTATCTACTTCCCTGAGAACTGCCGTGAAAAAAGAATTTTATAAACCTTCAAGTAGTTCTACATAATTGTGAGTTATTAGAAACACAGGGATTTGCTTTATACGTCTGCATTCAGATGTCTATACGGTCACCAGAGGCTCATGCTAGTTTGTGAAATTTAAACACACAAACACACTGATGGCTCCCTTCACCTCTCCTCCCACCAAACTTTCTTAGACATTACTGTCTCATATGAAATACATAAAAAAACATTTACCTACCTATAAACCAATTCTAGAAAAAATGAAGTTGTTTTAATACGGCATTTACCTGAGCAAAATGAAGAACTGGTAACTGTACAGCACCTTAAAATTTTTCCTTTCTGAGATCTCAAGCATTTCCCAGCATATGGTCCTAAATATCAGATTTCTAACCAAGTGCAGGGCTAGGACACTTGATTTTGTTAATGATGGTGAAAAAAAAAAAGCCCTTCCAAAATGTCGGGTATTCTTGTCAAAACAAGAAAGGGGTTGTGGGGAGGGAAGGTTAAAGGCACTTGCATATAGGCCTTTCCATCCAAAAGCTTGCTCTCTCTGGATCTACAACGTCAATAAATTAATCAAGCTGCACCACCTTAAAAGTTTAATACTAATGCTTTCTGAAGGAATGGTTCTATTTTCTAATCACAGAGTTACTTATGCAAGGACCATGTGTAAGAATCTGTGGCTTGGCCTCCTGAAAGAGACTTCCTGCTTGTGTACAAAAATACTTTGGGCTGAGAGCTATTTCTAAATTCTGGTCTTTTGCTTTTTCTGTTCCTTTTTTGCACCCCCACCCTCAGCTTTAACCTCCTTCTGATGAATTAATTTATCATCCTTTGAATGTCTTCATTTGGAGGCATCACTCTGTCTTTGTGCTTCCCCAGAACGCTAACTAGCCTAGGCACTCAAAAAACTGGTGGATGTGATTGTAGTGAAATAGATCCTGGCACAGACCTCTCCCCTACCTTTAATGTCCCATCACAGCCTAAAGTACAACTGACAACATAGAATCATACAGTTTCCTATAAAATAAGAGCCCTTTCCCAGTAGAAGCTATTGGGCAATTCTTTGTCAACACGTTCTGTAACCAATAAATGCAAACTTCATTCTCTACCTCTAGGACCTGGATAAAAATAAAATGAAAAATTAGGGGACATGATAAAGAGCATCAGAGAGGGATCCATTTCAGAATCAAAAAGCATCTCATTTAAAACAAAATGAGATTTTATGCTTCCATGAAGTATAAACATATTGGCAGAATATCATTATTGGATTTGAGTCTTCATTTTCCACAGGAGGCCCTTTCCAAATAGACTCAGATTAGCATCTTTTTTTAGTTTGCTTTTTTTTGTTACTTGAATTTATAAAGACTTTTTAAAAAAGTGTCCTTTGCACTGGGTATACACAGGAATTGAGCACAAAAGGCAGAGATATATGAAGCTGCCTCTTGCAATTACTTTTTAATAATGCAATTTGAGAGAGGTGGCAAAATCAAATTAACTCTCAAATCCACTTGTGATTTGAATTTGGAAAAAAAAAGAGAGAGAGGCATCTTTAAACATTTGAGGCTTAGGTATAAGGGAAGACTTACTTTGTGATTACAGGCAAATCATTTTTTTCTACCTCAGTTTCTTCACATTTCTAAAAGAGGGTCAATAATATTATTTGCTCTACTTAGAATTATAGAATTTTTAGAGCTAGAAAGAAGAGACCACAGAGACCATTCTATATGTGAGAATATTGCATACCAGTCACTGGGTTGGTTTATTTTGCTTTAATTGTTTTTCTTTGTTACAAG